AAAAAACTATTTTACAAGAGATAAGTAAAATAAATAGTTATTCTAACTTTGCTGATAAATATTTCTAATAAAATATCAGATCAAAATTATAGTGTTATCACTGTAAAAAATGTACTGAGATAATTTATATTTTCCATTGGTTGAATAATGTAGCTATTATTTCATAAAATAAATTTCTTTAAATTTGAGAATGAGACATTGAACCTGTTTGGACCCTATCAGTCCCATTTTACCCCGCCTATAGGATAGGACCAAGTGGCAAATTATTGAAAACAGAAAAAAAAACGCTTTTCTGATAAATTAGCTGGGAGTTTTACTGAACATAGATATATACTTGTTTGATTGATTCATGTAATTTTTCCTGGTATAGTTGGTTTGGTTTCTCAAATAATATACAATTGCTCAAAGTCAAATTGGTCCTTTATACCCCGCCCTGCCCTATTGATTAATAACTTTCAGTGCTCTAAAGCGCTATGCATTTCACAAATTATCGCTAAATATAATATCATTGACACAAACGTGCCAAGGTTCATTTAATTAAGCTTCCTTTGGAAAGAAAACTTAGAAAATCTACTGTAATCTCATTAAAGGAGCTTTACACCTCATTAAAATCAGTAAGGTTTCTGTTATAAATAAAAAATTTCCGCACGCTTTGACCAACTTCCTATCGTTTACAGTTCACATAGTTTTCTTTTGAAAATATAGAAACATTATTTTACTTCCATAATTATTTTCATTTTGAATAATAATATTTTTCTACTGAATTTTATATCGTATTATCTGAGAGCTTTGCATATAGTTTGCAATAAATATTATCGATATAGAAACATATCAAGATAGAGAGAGATTCATAGATTTATGTAATAATATGCCTATATTAATTAACTTCGCAAAGGAGTTTATGTTTTCATAAAAAAAACGATTTGACAATTTAATATTTTCTTGACGGTTCAAGCCATTCCGAATCGAATGAGACCAAATATGGAAAAAGTGTGTGTGTGTGTGTGTGTGAACAGATTTTTGACCTTTTGTCAACGTTTGCTAAAAAACGGCTTAACTGATTTCAAAAATTCAATTTTGCACGACGATCAGCCAAGCCGTTTCTTTGTAAAAAGCAGAAAAGTGAAAAAAATCGTCTATGATTTAGCCCGCAATGCTGAATCGATTTAAAAATTCAAAAACCGTCAGAAAGATATTGGTTGCGAATCACAACCACAACTTATTGTAATTGACTGTTGAAAATTTTCTTTTCGACGATTTTCATGAAATTGTTTTTGGCGATAGATATCATGGTCTTCTAGTTCATACTAAAATATCACGGCCCTACGATAAGTCATTTAATATTAAAAATTCATCAAAGTTTGAATAGATGGATAGCGTTTTTTTTAAATTAGATCTTCCATCGACATTTTTTCAAAAACCTTTGTATGGAAGTGTAGTCTACATACGACATAAAGTGTGCTGAACTTTGATTCAATAATTATCACTCTGAATTAAATAATTGAGAATTCTAATTTGTTTATTATTCTTCAGATGTGTGCTTTTTAAATTTTGAATACATTTTTAACTTCCCGTAGGGCAAGTTATAGTAATCGCAAAAAAATCGAAAATGAAAATTTTTATATATCTTTACGTTTCAAAGGTTTCTGAACATTTTGGCATACCTTAGAAAAAATGGATGTATGTGTGTGTGTGTGTGTGTGTGTGTGTATGTATGTATGTATGTGCGTGTGTGTGTATGTGCGGATACAAATTTTCGTCGACGATTTCGGGAACACGGATCAACCGATTTGAATAATTCAAAAAACATTCGATTCGTATTGATAAGGAGACGTGCTGATTAGTTTTTGGCGAAGGCAGGTCCAGCCGTTCCGAAGATACGGGGCAAAAAATGCCTAAAACGGTAACTCAGTTTTTAAGAGAACGGAGCATCCGATTTGAATAATTCAAAAAACATTTCACTTGTATTGACAAGATGAAGAATCGATAAAATTTTCATGAAGGTAGGTCTAGCGGTTTCGGAGATATGGAGGAAAAAGTAAAAAAATGAGCCATTTGGCGGTCAAAAATGATCATTAGACATATGCACATCAAATTATCAGATATTTTATAGAGATTTTAACAATAAGTATACATTTTGTTAACATTCCTATGGGTTCCGTACCAATGCTTATGCGTTAGAGAGCGACGCGGCGCTTACGCGCTTTATATTTTGACCCTATGCAGTTAAAGCAGTACGATTGCTTTGAAAAAAAGTTCAGATCTTTCACAATATGTCAAAATAAAGAAAAAAAAATTTTATTATTTTTTTTTTTTTAAAAAAAATTTAAAAAAAAGTAATTTTTTGTCCAATCTATAGTTTCTCAAAAATCTTATTTTTTCAAAGTAAATTTTTTTCAAAAATGTTAAACGTTTTTAAAAAAATAATAATTTTTGGTACGGGAAGTTCCAGCAATTTGCCTTAAGGCACGATGCCTTAATTGCCTTAAGACAGAATTCCACTTACAGCTAGTTATTGATAATGATTGAAAAATCGTAAAACTTTCTTTATAATATATACTTGGTCGGCTTGATGGTTTGTACAGCAGAGTCTTTTAGCAAACACTACTACTAGAAATTGAAACCATTCGGTTCTTAACACCAAAAAGTTGTAGAAAAATGCATTTTTAAGTTTTCAAAAAACGTAACGCTCAAATTTTTCAGAGTAATATGAAATAAATATTATACAATTCAATAAAATATATTGAAGAAAGAATGGCATAAATAATTGACCTTCTGTTTAAAGACAGTTGACACGTCTTATCGTACTTTGTTGTAACGATAAAATGAATGCATTCACAAAAAAAGCTCTTATGTACATATATGTGCATAATTTTTTAACTATAGATTAGGAAAGTAAACTAGTGGTACATGGCAATTTAAATTTTAAAAATCCGAATTACTTTCAATATTCAAAAAAAAAATATAGAAAAATAATTTTGAAATGTTTTTTTTTCTTTCCCCAAAAACAATCGATTCGTATAAGCATAAAATTTTCTGAATCATTCAAATTGGGTGCTTAAGTTCTCTCAAAAACTGCAATTTTTTTTTGCATATTGTTAATAAGTTAAAGATTTAAATTTGAATCATTGCATCAAATTACCATATCATTTTCGTGTATATTCAAATAAGAACTAATTGAAAGGCACAATATTATTTTATAATTTAAAATAATATGAATTGTAAATTGCTTACCTTGACATTGAAAACCCTGCTTTCCAAAACCCCTGTAAAAGAAAAGAAAATATTTAATGTCATCATATTAATATTGTCAAAGATATTATAATTTTTTAAAAGATATATGAATTTGATCCATGTAATAAATATTATGTATTTAAAAGCCTAAAGATGGAGCGTAACTTGTTCCGAAACGTCGACAAAATCTTATCTTCAAAAGATATTTTCCTTCTTTAAATTTTACACACATTTATGTTGTATATATATATATATATATATATATATATATATATATATATACATATATACATATATACAAATCGATATCATAATGATTTTGGTATCGGATGTATTATAAATAATTCATAAGAAATGTTTTGCCAGCTATAATATATATTCTATTTTTATTTATTTAATAGTATTTAACACATTGAATATTTCTACTGATCTATTTCCATACGTTTCGAAGTCTGCTTTCCTCATCATCAGTGATATTCAAATAATAATAGCAAACAAATATATATTCTCATTGTTTTTTTCTCACATCAATTACGCATTCACATTGAAGATAAAAATTCCATTCCAAGTAAATTATTTCTGTCAAAATTCTGAATTTTGTACAATAATTTGAAACCTTTGAACAATTTTTAGTCGTATGTAAATTTGAAAGTAACAAAATATAGAAGTATTGAATTACTAGTAGACAATTTACTTTATGCAATATCATAGTATAATATTTCTATA